TATTTTACAATCTAGGGACATAGCTCTTAAAAAGAAAATAAATCTTTTTAAGTGGTATACTGGTATCTAGTGTGTGTAAAAATTAAGTGGATTTTTTGAAGAAAATTATTTTAGCTGACTTAAGTATGATCTTGCTTTAGGGGTTTGACAAGATTTTAAAATACTTATAGTATTTTAGCGAAGAATAATTAAGGGGGTAAGGGGGTTTGATGTAAGGAAGCCGTATACGCGTGTACGTATACGTGTATACGTGTATACGTGTATACGTGTATACGTGTATACGTGTATACGTGTATACGTGTATACGTGTATACGTGTATACGTGTATACGTGTATACGTGTATACGTGTATACGTGTATACGTGTATACGTGTATACGTGTATACGTGTATACGTGTATACGTGTATACGTGTATACGTGTATACGTGTATACGTGTATACGTGTATACGTGTATACGTGTATACGTGTATACGTGTATACGTGTATACGTGTATACGTGTATACGTGTATACGTGTATACGTGTACGCGTGGGGTAAAAATTTAGGAATAATTTTATTTATGTCCGACAAGCATTAATTAAATAACACCTGATAGTGTTCAATGGTGATCGGTAATATTAGATTGAAGTCCAGCTTCAATTGAGTTGACTGAACCCCAGGCCTCAGACGGCCTAGTTGAGTCGGTGCATCCCGAAATTAAAAAAATACCAACTGCATGACAGCACAGTTATGTTAGGCATGGGCTGATTAGTCATTAATCCATCGAGATGTCTTATTTAAGGGGAATGAGTGGGCGATTTTAGGTGAGATGGCCCTGAAGTAAGAACCAGATGTCTGATAAAGTTTCAGTATAGAAACCCCCACATGTAATGGGCCCGGAGCAAGAAGAGGGATCCGACCCGAGCGGGTTGCTGATTTCACGCGGCATGGTTATTAAGCGGTTTTGTTGGAGGTGATATGCATGTTGTCGAGGACTGATTCAGAGATGTGCTATGTACTGTTAAAAATTTATATCCGTTAGCGGATTTCATGGTATGTATTACAAGATATGCATGGTCTAAGTCTATTAATGGGGATTAAACATAGGTAGTCTGTGAGAATTAATAGTATGTACTTGCTTATATGCATGGGGATATACATTATATGCACGATTATACATAGATGTATGTATGGGAAGTGCCATTGTATGCACGAATTGCATAGCGCCGGGGGCGCTATGCGTTTTATGTAGGCAAGGAGTAGTTTAAGTAGAATATCAGCTTTGGGTGTTGATGGTGGGGTTGTAGCCCTCTCCTTGATGTCCTAGGGAAAAGTTTTTTCCATTGGTGGTTTACAAGACCACTGTAATAGTTATACTACTGGGACTCTTCATTTTAATAGTCGGTTTTCAATTATGCTTGAGACTGGTATTAGAACAAGGATAATAGTGAAGTATAAGATTGAGGCTAATTGTCCAATGATGATAAATGGGTGTTCAACTGGTTGGCCTCCAATTCATGTGAGAGTAAAAAGGTCTGCTACTAGGATTCAGAATATGCATTGGCTGAGTGGTCGGAATATTAGGCTACGTTGATGGGATATATGTAAAAGGGGGAATGCGGCTAAAATGAGGATTGAAAATACGAGGGCTAGGACTCCACCAAGTTTATTTGGAATGGAACGGAGAATGGCGTATGCAAATAGGAAGTATCATTCTGGTTTGATGTGTGGTGGTGTGTTGAGTGGGTTTGCTGGGATGTAGTTATCTGGGTCTCCTAGTAAGTCTGGTGAGAATAGTGTAAGTAATAGTAGAAATAGTAAGAGTATTAGGACTCCAAGAAGGTCTTTTACAGTGTAATATGGGTGGAATGGGATTTTGTCTGCGTCTGAGTTTAATCCTGATGGGTTGTTTGATCCAGTTTCGTGTAGAAATAGTAGGTGAACTATTGTTAGGGCTGCTACGATGAATGGTAGGATGAAGTGAAATGCGAAGAACCGGGTTAGAGTAGCTTTGTCTACTGAAAATCCACCTCAAATTCATTCTACTAGGGTGGTACCGATGTAAGGAATTGCTGATAATAAGTTTGTAATTACGGTAGCTCCTCAGAATGATATTTGGCCTCATGGTAGCACATAGCCTATGAAAGCAGTAGCTATAACAGCGAATAAAAGGATAATTCCGATGTTTCATGTTTCTAGGAATAGGTAGGATCCATAATAGATTCCTCGTCCTACGTGTGTGAATAAGCAGATAAAGAACATGGAAGCACCGTTGGCGTGAAGATATCGGATTAATCATCCGTTGTTTACGTCTCGGCAAATATGGGTGACTGATGAAAATGCAGTTGATGTATCTGATGTATAATGTATTGCTAGGAATAATCCTGTAAGGATTTGAATAATTAAGCAAAGGCCTAGTAGTGAGCCGAAGTTTCATCATGCGGAAATGTTAGATGGTGCTGGGAGGTCAATGAAGGAGTGGTTGATGATTTTAAGTAATGGGTGGGTTTTACGGATGTTGGTCATTAGGTTCTTGTAGTTGAATAACAACAGTGGTTTTTCATATCACAGGTCATGGGGTTTAATCCGTGCAGGAATTATGGTTTATTTACTTTTTATGTTGAGTGTAATACTTGTGGTTGGGTTTATTAGTTTTTCTTCTAAACCTTCTCCTGTATATGGTGGGTTGGGTTTGATTGTTAGTGGTGGGCTTGGTTGTGGAATTGTGGTTTATTATGGTGGGTCTTTTTTAGGTTTGATAGTATTTTTAGTTTATTTGGGTGGGATATTAGTGGTATTTGGGTATACTACGGCAATGGCTACTGAAGAGTATCCTGAGGCTTGGGGATCAAATATAGTTATTATAATGGCTATGATCATTGGTGTGTTGATAGAGTTAGTAGTTGTAGTTTTATTGGTTGGTGGTTTTGGTGGAAATTATGTTTGTGATTTTGTAGGATCAATTGATTGATCAATTTATAGTATTGAGGATCTTAATTTAGTGCGTGAGGATTATGTAGGAGCATCTTCTTTATATAATTATGGTAGTTGAATAATAATTATGGCTGGGTGAGCTTTATTTGTCAGTGTATTTATTGTTATTGAGATTACTCGTGGGCGTTAAAGTAAGAATGTTAAGGCTAGGCAAAGGGAAATAAGGAAAGATATGAAGTAGAATTTGATTATGCCTTTTTGGTTTGAGGTTATAGTAGCTGCTATGAGGTTATAATTTGCTAGGTTTTTTGGTATTGTTTTTTCCAGTCATGTTAAGTCGATAATGTTTGATGAGATATTTTGGCTGATGTTTAGGCTGTGGAATGGGTATAGGCGGTGTATAATTTGGGGGTAGAATCCTAGTATATTTGAGAATTTAAAGGTGTTAGAAGGGTAGTTGAATTTAAGGTAGAGTGTTATTTGGTTAAGTTCTATTGCCAGTATAAAGCCTAGTAGGGTAACAGATAGGGCGGTTAGTTTAAGGTAAATAGGTATTGTTATTTGTGGGATAGTTGTTGGGTTGATGCTGTTTGATAGGATGAAACCTGCAAAGATGCTGCCGAATATTAATCGTTTAATGGCGTTGATTAGAGATGGGTTATTTTCATTAATTAAGATAAGTGTGGTTGATCGTGGTTGGCCTATTAAAGCATAAAAGATAATTCGAGAGCTGTAGATAGCTGTTATGGAAGTTGCGATTAAGGTAAGTGATAGGGCTCAGGCGTTGATGTAGGATGTATTTGCTGCTTCAATAATAAGGTCTTTGGAGTAGAATCCTGTCAAGAATGGGGTGCCTGTTAGGGCTAAGCTACCAATAATTAGTGCGGAGGATGTTAGTGGTAAAGGTTTGTAAAGGCCACCTATTTTTCGGATGTCTTGTTCGTCATTTAAGCTGTGGATGATTGCTCCTGAGCATATAAAGAGTATGGCTTTAAAGAATGCGTGGGTGCAGATGTGTAGGAATGCTAAGTAAGGTTGGTTGATTCCTAGTGTGACTATTATTAGGCCTAGTTGACTTGATGTTGAGAATGCAACAATTTTTTTAATATCGTTTTGTGTAAGTGCACAGATTGCTGTAAATAGGGTTGTTAGAGCACCTAGGCATAGTATAAGTGTTAGAATAGTTTTGTTGTTTTCTAATAGTGAGTGGAATCGTACTAGTAGAAAGATTCCTGCTACAACTATTGTGCTTGAATGTAGTAGGGCTGAGACTGGTGTTGGGCCTTCTATTGCTGATGGTAGTCATGGATGAAGGCCGAATTGGGCAGATTTTCCTGTTGCGGCTAGTAGAAGACCTAATAGGGGTAGAGTGTTAGTTTCTGTAGAGGTTATTATGATTTGTTGTAAGTCTCATGAATTAGAGTGAATGAGGAATCATGCTATAGTTAGAATAAACCCGATATCTCCAATACGATTGTATAGGATAGCTTGTAAGGCTGCGGTGTTAGCGTCTGTTCGTGCATATCATCAGCCAATAAGTAGGAATGATATAATTCCAACTCCCTCCCAGCCAATGAATAGTTGGAACAGGTTGTTGGCTGTAACTAGGATAATTATTGTGATTAGGAAAGTTAGTAGATATTTGAAGAATCGGTTGATGTTAGGGTCTATTTCTATGTATCAAATAGAGAATTCTATAATTGATCATGTTACGAATAGTGCTACTGGAATGAAGATTAGTGAAAAGTAATCTAGTTTGAAACTAAGTGTGATTTTTATAGAGTTGATTGTAATTCAATGTCAGTTGGAAATTATAATTTCTTGATTTGAATTGATGAATGTTAAGGCTGGAATTATGCTGATAGTGAATGCATATGAAATTGCTGTTTTAATGTACTGTGGGTAAAGTTTGGTTTGGTAAATGTGTGTGGTTGATATAATAATCGGGATAATTAGAATAATGAATACTATTAGGGTGAATGTAGGGGTGAGATTTATTACTTTTATTTGGAGTTGCACCAATTTTTTGGTTCCTAAGACCAATGGATTACTACTATCCTTTAAAAGTTAAGGAAGCCATGGTTTTAGGCATGGTATAAAGAGTTAGCAGTTCTTAATTCTTTCCTTGGTAAATAAGAAGGTATCAATTTCTATTATTAGATTCACAATCTAATGTTTTGTTTAAACTATATTTACAGTATATAGTACCTAGGATGAGTTTTGGGTTAACAGATAGTAGGATTAATGGGAGAATATGTAATGTTATTAGAGTGTGTTCTCGAGTGAAGGTTGGTTTGATTGAATTAATATGAAATGAGGGTTTTCCTCGTTGAGTGGTAATAAGTATGTATAGTGAGTAAAGAGCTGTGATTAGTATATTTAGCCCTATTAATAAAAGGGAGAGTTTAGATCATGAAAATATGGATAGGGTAATGAATAGTTCTCCAATGAAGTTGATTGATGGGGGTAAAGCTAGGTTTATTAGGGAAGCGGTGAATCATCATAGTGCTATTAGTGGAATAATTGATTGTAAGCCTCGAGCTAGAATTATAGTTCGGCTGTGAATTCGTTCATAATTAGTATTAGCTAAGCAGAATAGTATGGAGGATGTTAGGCCATGGGCGATTATTAGGGTTGTTGCGCCTATAAATCCTCATGGGGTTTGAATGAGGATGGCTACGATTACTAGTGCTATATGGCTAACTGATGAGTATGCAATTAGGGATTTTAAGTCTGTTTGGCGCAGGCAGATAAGGCTGGTTATTACTATTCCTCATAGAGATAGCATTAGGAAAGGAAATGCTATTGAGTAGTTTAAGGGGTCGATTAGGATCGTGATTCGTATTATTCCATAACCTCCTAGTTTAAGGAGGATGGCGGCAAGGACTATAGATCCAGCGATAGGGGCTTCTACATGTGCCTTGGGTAATCATAGGTGGAGGCCGTATAATGGTATCTTTACTATGAATGCTAGTATACAGGCTAATCATAAGAAGTTGGAAGAGATAGATGGTGATATTGGTTGAGTGATAAATTGGATTAGTAAAATGTTTAGGGAGCCTAGGTTATTTTGTAGGTAGGTAAGAGCTACTAATAATGGGAGGGATCCTGCTAATGTGTAGAATAAAAAGTATAGGCCAGCGTTTAGACGTTCAGTTTGGTTCCCTCATCGGGTGATTAGGATGAGAGTTGGGATTAGGGTGGCTTCAAATAGAATATAGAATATAATTAGTTCGGAAGCTGTGAATGTTATAATTAGGAAAATTTGTAGCGTAATAAGTATGGAGATATAAGTCTTTTTTCGTAGTTCGGATTCTGTATTTAAGTGAAATTGACTTGCCATTAATATTAATGGGAGGAGTCATGTAGTTAGAATTAGTAGTGGTGTTGATAAGGAATCGGATGAAAAAAGTAGTGATGTGTTAAGGGTTATATCTATAGTTTGATTAAGTAGAGGTAGAGCAGCTAGGTTGATTATGAAGCTGTAAGAAGTTACGTTAATTCAGATTATGCTCTTTTTTGAGTATCATGTTAAGGGGAGTAATATTATAGTAGGAATAATGATTTTTAGCATTGGAGTAGGTTAAGATTTTGGACGTAATCTAAGCCATAGGTGTTGGAAACTATAACTAAGAGTGAAAGGCCAATTGCCGCTTCACAAGCAGCGAAAACTAGTAAAATAATAGGTATTATAGTTATTAGGGTGAAATGCATTGTTAGGGCTAGTGTAGATGTTAAAATAAAAAGTGATAGTATTATACCTTCTAGACATAGAAGGGAAGATATTATGTGGGATCGGTAAATTAGTAGTCCGATGAGGGAGATGGTAAATGCTAGTAATATATTAATTAAGATAGGTGACATTTTGATAATTATGTATGAGCATAATTTAATGAGTCGAAATCATTTGTTTTAATTTAAACTAATTATCATATTCGATTCATTCAAGGCCTTTTTGTACTCATTCGTATGCCAGGCCTAGGGCTAATAGGGTGATTAGGATAAGGGCTATTGTTAGTATAAGTTTAAGGTTTCCTGCTTGAATAGCCCATGGTAAGGGTAATAGTAGTGCGATTTCTAAATCAAATAATAGGAATGTGATTGCTACAAGGAAAAATTTTATAGAGAAAGGAAGGCGTGCTGATCCTATAGGGTCAAACCCACATTCATAAGGGCTTGCTTTTTCTGAGTAAATATTTAGTTGAGGTAATCAAAATGCGATTAATACTAGTAGTATTGCAATCGAAGAGTTAATGAATAGGGTGATTATTAGGTTAATTATTCTTTTCTGGGGTTGACCAGAATTTATTGATTGGAAGTCAACTATATTATTTATATTAAAAGAATATGAGCCTCATCAATAAATTGAGATATATAGGAAAAGTCATACTACATCTACGAAGTGTCAATATCAGGCAGCAGCTTCAAACCCGAAGTGGTGATTAGATGTGAAGTGGAATTTTAGTTGACGAAAGAAGCAGACTATAAGGAAAGTAGAGCCAATAATAACGTGTAGACCGTGGAAACCGGTTGCTATAAAGAAAGTTGATCCGTAAACACCGTCAGCGATGGTAAAGGGGGTTTCATAATATTCTGAAGCTTGAAGAAGTGTAAAATAGACTCCTAGGGCAATGGTAATGAATAGAGCTTGAATTATTTGGGTACGATTACCTTCTATAAGACTGTGGTGGGCTCAGGTAATGGTAACACCTGAGGCTAGTAAGATAGAAGTATTTAGTAGTGGAATTTCTAGTGGGTTAAGTGGTGTAATACCTGTAGGGGGTCAGCAGCCTCCTAATTCTGGAGTAGGAGCTAGGCTAGAGTGATAGAAGGCTCAGAAAAACCCGGCAAAGAAAAATACTTCTGAGATAATAAATAGGATCATACCGTATCGTAAGCCTTTCTGTACAATAGGTGTGTGATGTCCTTGGAATGTTCCTTCTCGGATAATATCTCGTCATCATTGATATATTGTTAGAAGTATTGATACTAATCCTATGGTTATTAGGATTATAGAGTTATAATGGAATCATATGATTGTTCCTGATGTTAGAAGAAGAGCTGATAGGGCTCCTGTTAATGGTCAGGGGCTGGGGTTTACTATGTGATAAGCATGAGTTTGGTGTGTCATTAGGTATTGTCATGTAAGTATAGGCTTACTAGAAGAGTAAATACGTAAGCTTGAATTAGGGCTACTGCAAATTCCAGTACGGTGAGAAGTAGTAAGATGATAAACGTAATAATTGCTGTAGGTATACTAATGGATATAAGTACTAGAGTGGCTCCTCCGATTAGGTGAATTAATAAATGACCCGCAGTAATATTGGCGGTTAGTCGGACGGCTAGAGCTATTGGTTGAATGAATAGGCTGATAGTCTCAATAATGATTAGTATGGGGATTAGTGGGATTGGGGTGCCTTGAGGAAGAAAATGTGCTAGGGAAGCTTTGGTTTTGTGTCGGAATCCTGTGATTACGGCTCCAGCTCATAGTGGGATTGCTATTCCTAGATTTATAGACAATTGGGTGGTAGGTGTAAATGAATGGGGTAGAAGTCCTAGTAGGTTTGTTGATCCAATAAATAGAATTAATGATATAAGTATTAGGGATCAAGTTCGACCTTTAATATTGTGTATTGCCATTATTTGTTTAAGAATTAATGAGATTAATCATTGTTGGAATGAGACTAGGCGATTAGGAATTAGTCGTTTAGATGAAGGGAATATAATAGTGGGAAAAGCAATAATTAGTAGAACAATTGGTAGTCCTATTAATGTGGGAGTGATGAATGAGGCAAATAAATTTTCGTTCATTTTGTTTCTCAAGGATTTTTATGTTCTGTAGATTTTAGTAGTTTAGGTTCTGGTTCTAGGTAAAAAGTTAGTTTTGAGAAATTAATTTGGAATAGAATAAATAGTGTTAAGGTGGCAGAAATAATTGTAATAAATCATGTGTTTGTATCTAATTGTGGCATTTCATTGAGGAGAGATTAAACTCTCAGTCTTTAACTTAAAAGGTTAATGCTTAGTATTTAGCTTCTCAGTGGATTAAGTTATTGTAGAAGATCAGTTTTCGAAATGTTTTAGTGGGACTATTTCTAGTACAATTGGTATGAAGCTGTGATTTGAGCCACAGATTTCTGAGCATTGTCCGTAATATAGGCCTGGGCGTGTGGATGTAAGGGTTGCTTGATTTAGTCGACCTGGAATTGCATCGGTTTTTAGTCCAAGGGAAGGAACTGCTCATGAATGAAGTACATCTTCTGAAGAGATTAATATACGAATAGATAATTCTATAGGTAATACAACTCGATTGTCAACTTCTAATAGGCGTAGTTCGCCGGGATTTAAATCGTTTGTTGGGATTATATAGGAGTCGAAAGATAAATCATTGTAGTCTGTATATTCATAACTTCAGTATCATTGATGACCTATAGTTTTTACTGTTAATGATGGATTATTAATTTCGTCTATCATGTATAGGATACGTAGAGATGGTAGTGCAATTAAGATAAGAATAATGGCTGGGAGGATTGTTCAAATAGTTTCTACTTCTTGGGCATCTATGGTATTAGTATGAGTAAGTTTAGTGGTTAGTATAAGGGAGATGATATAAAGGACTAAGGAACTAATAAGGAATACGATTATTAAGGTATGGTCATGAAAATGTAGTAGTTCTTCTATAATTGGGGATGAGGCGTCTTGAAAACCTATTTGGAATGGGTATGCCATAGAGGGGTATAAGATTTAAACTTATAATTTAACTTTGACAAAGTTATGTAATAATTTTACTAAAGCCTCTTATTAAGAAAGTCATAGTGGTTATGGGATTGGCTTGAAACCAGTTTATGGGGGTTCGATTCCTTCCTTTCTTGTTAAGCTTTGATATATGTAGGTTCCTCAAATGTATGATATGGTGGGGGACATCCATTAATTCATTCAATGTTAGTAGTGGTTAATTCAACTGTTATTACTTCACGTTTTGATGCGAATGCTTCTCATACAATGAAGATTATTAAGATTACTGCTGTTAAAGAGATGAATGATCCTATTGAGGATACTGTATTTCATGTGGTATATGCATCTGGGTAGTCTGAATAACGTCGTGGTATACCTGATAATCCTAGGAAATGTTGAGGGAAGAATGTTAAGTTTACTCCAACAAATATAATAATGAAGTGGATTTTAGCTCATGTAGAGTGAAGAGTATAACCTGTGAATAATGGAAATCAATGGACAAAGCCTCCTATGATAGCGAATACAGCACCCATTGATAGTACATAATGAAAGTGTGCGACAACATAGTAAGTATCGTGTAGTACAATGTCAAGTGATGAATTTGCTAGAACGATTCCTGTTAGGCCTCCAATAGTAAATAGGAAGATGAAACCGAGTGCTCAGAGTATTGCAGGGGATCATTTAATATTTCCCCCATGCAAGGTAGCTAATCAACTAAAAACTTTGACGCCTGTTGGAATAGCGATAATTATTGTTGCTGAAGTAAAATAGGCTCGTGTGTCTACATCTAATCCTACAGTAAATATATGGTGAGCTCAAACAATAAATCCAAGAAATCCAATAGATATTATGGCTCATACTATTCCTATATATCCAAAAGGTTCTTTTTTACCAGAGTAGTATGTAACGATGTGAGAGATGATACCAAAACCTGGGAGAATTAGAATGTATACTTCTGGGTGTCCAAAGAATCAAAATAAGTGTTGGTAGAGGATTGGATCTCCACCTCCAGCTGGGTCAAAGAAGGTTGTATTAATATTTCGATCAGTTAATAGCATAGTAATCCCTGCGGCTAATACTGGGAGTGATAATAGTAGTAATACTGCTGTAATTAGGACAGATCAAACAAATAAGGGGGTTTGATATTGGGATATAGCAGGGGGTTTTATATTAATAATAGTAGTGATAAAATTGATAGCACCTAAAATTGATGATACTCCTGCTAAGTGTAATGAGAAAATAGCTAAGTCAACTGAAGCTCCCGCGTGAGCAAGATTACCTGCTAAAGGAGGGTATACAGTTCATCCTGTTCCGGCACCTGCTTCTACTATAGAGGAGGCTAATAAAAGTAAGAATGAAGGTGGCAGAAGCCAGAAGCTCATGTTATTTATTCGTGGAAAGGCTATATCAGGGGCGCCGATTATTAATGGGACTAGCCAGTTTCCGAACCCACCAATTATGATGGGTATAACTATAAAGAAAATTATTACGAAGGCATGGGCTGTGACAATAACATTGTAGATTTGATCATCACCTAATAGTGCACCAGGTTGTCCTAGTTCAGCCCGAATTAGAAGGCTGAGTGCAGTACCTACTATTCCTGCTCAAGCGCCAAATAGTAGATATAGGGTTCCGATGTCTTTATGATTAGTAGAAAATAGTCAACGATTAATGAACATTGGTAATTTAGGGGTAAAATGGCTGAGTAGGCATTAGACTGTAAATCTAATCACAGAGGTAAAGTCCTCTTTTTACCAGGCCCTGAGGTGTTATCATACCGAATTGCAAATTCGGGGAAGTAGTCGACAAACTGCCGGGGCTTCTCCCGCCTTTCTCCCCCTTTTTAAGGCGGGAGAAGTAGATTGAAGCCAGTTATTAGGGTATTTAGCTGTTAACTAAAATTTCGTAGGTTTAAAGCCTGCCAATCTAGTAAGGGCTTAGCTTAATTAAAGTGTCTGATTTGCGTTCAGTTGATGTAGGAATATAATCTTACAGTCCTTAGTCAGGGGTTAAGTGATATCACTTTCTTAAAGCTTTGAAGGCTTTTGGTCTGAATGAACCTAAACCCCTAAAGTAGTAGATTTATTATAGGGGTCAGTGGCAATGAAAGTATGGATAGGGTAAATATAGTTGGTAATAAAGTTGAGTATGATAAGTTAGTGTATTTTCATTTTATTTTTATGTTGTTGTTGGAGGGAAATATTGTTAGGGCTGATGAATAGATTAGTCGTATATAGAAGTAAAGGTTGAGTAATGCTAGTATTGCTATGATAAGTGGTAGAATAATGCTGTTGTTTTTTGTTATTTCTTGAATGATAAGTCATTTTGGTATGAATCCTGATAGTGGAGGCAAGCCTCCTAGTGATAGTAATACTCCTATTAGTATAATTATTGTTAGTGGTGTTTTGTTTGATATAATAGCTAGGGAAGCGGTGGAAGTGTTAGAGTTTCCAATTAGGAGTATAAATGAAGATAGAGTTATAAGGATATAGATAATTAGGTTGAGTAATATTAGGGAAGGTTCGTATGAGATGATGATTGCCATTCAGCCTATATGGGCGATTGAAGAGTAGGCTAGGATTTTTCGTAATTGGGTTTGATTAAGTCCCCCTCAGCCACCTAAAATAATGGATAAGATTCCTGAATATAAGAGTAGGTTGTGGTTAATTGATGGGAAAATTTGGTAAAGAATGGATAGTGGAGCTAGTTTTTGTCAGGTTAATAAAATTGCTGCTGAGGTAAGGTGGGAGCCTTGTGTTACTTCTGGGACTCAGAAGTGGAATGGGGCTATTCCTAGTTTTATGGTTAATGCTATTAGTGCTAGGAAAGGGGGTATGGAGTTTGTAAAGTTTATAATGGTTCATTGGCCTGAATATATGAAGTTTATTAGGGCTGCTAGTAGTAAGATTATAGAGGCTGTTGCTTGGGTTAGGAAATATTTTGTTGCGGCTTCAATTGAGCGTGGGTTGTGTTGTTTAATAATTAAAGGGATAATGGCGAATATGTTGATTTCTAGTCCTATTCAGGCCATTAGTCAGTTGGAGCTGATTATAGTGATTACTGTTCCTAAAATAAGTGTTAGTAGAATAGTAATGAAGATAATTGGGTTAATTAGTACGGGAAGGATGTAAACCAACATTTTCGGGGTATGGGCCCGATAGCTTATTTAGCTGACCTTACTAGAATATGGTGTATATGGTAGCACGAAGATTTTTGAATTCTTAGGTTTAGGTTCGAGTCCTAAAATTCTAGAAATAAGGGGATTTGAACCTCTATGTTTTACTCTATCAAAGTAACTCTATTGTCAGACATATTTCTATGTTTGTGGTGGGATACTTGCTAGTATTACAGGTATGGATACATAAATTATACATATGGCTAGGGTTAGGGGAAGAAAATTTTTTCATAGAAGGTGCATTAGTTGATCGTATCGGAAGCGTGGATAAGATGCTCGAACTCATAAAAAGCTAATTGTTAATAGTATGGTTTTGACTATAAAGTTTGTTGTATAGGCTTCTGGGATTAGTGGGCTGTGATATGCGCCTAGGAATAGTGTTGTTGTTAAAGCATTTATGAGGATAATATTAGCATATTCTGCTAGGAAGAATAGTGCGAATGGGCCTGCGGCGTATTCTACGTTAAAACCAGAGACTAGTTCTGATTCTCCTTCTGTTAAGTCGAAAGGAGCTCGATTAGTTTCTGCTAATGTTGAGATGAATCATATTATAGCTAGAGGTCAGGTTGGGAAGATTAATCAGATATGTTCTTGAGTTTGAATGAGGGAAGTTAATGTAAATGAACCATTAAGTAGTATCACTGATAGTAGGATAATAGCAAGTGAGACTTCATAGGAGATTGTTTGGGCTACTGCGCGTAGGGCTCCAATGAGGGCGTATTTTGAGTTGGAGGCTCATCCTGATCATAGAATTGAATAGACTGCTAGGCTTGATGTTGCTAGGATAAATAATAGGCTGAGGTTTATATTAATTAATGAGGAAGGTATTGGAAGTGGAATTCATATTGTTAGGGCTAGTGTTAGGGCTAGAATAGGAGCTAGGATAAATATGAGGATGGATGAGGTTTGTGGTCGTAGAGGTTCTTTGGTAAATAGTTTTATAGCATCTGCAATTGGTTGAAGTAATCCGTATGGACCTACAATGTTTGGTCCTTTGCGAAGTTGCATATAACCTAATACTTTACGTTCAATTAGTGTTAGGAATGCGACGGCTAGTAGGATAGGGATAATTATAGATAGAAGGTTAATGAGGAACACTGTTAAGAAGAGGAATTGAACCTCTGATTATAAAGGTTTAAGTTTTATGCAATTACCTGGCTCTGCCATCTTAACTAACCCTGTTCTAGGGCTTAATTATATTATTTAAGTAATTAAGATTATTTCATAATTTGTTGTTAAGGCGCTCTAGTGGAGTAGGCCTCATTTCTCTTGTCCTTTCGTACTGGGAGAAATAATCATATAGATAGAAACCGACCTGGATTGCTCCGGTCTGAACTCAGATCACGTAGGACTTTAATCGTTGAACAAACGAACCTTTAATAGCTGCTGCACCATTGGGATGTCCTGATCCAACATCGAGGTCGTAAACCCTGTTGTCGATATGGACTCTATAACAGGATTGCGCTGTTATCCCTAGGGTAACTTGGTCCGTTGATCAATTTGTTGGGTCAATAATTGATTTAAATTTTGACTTGTAAGTCTAGATGTTTATCATTCGGAGGTTTTGTTGTGCTCCGAGGTCACCCCAACCGAAATTATTAACTCAGTTTAATTTTATTTTGTTCCTGTCGGTTAAATTATATAAGTTAGTGAGTTAATTAATTGAAGCTCCATAGGGTCTTCTCGTCTTATATATTTATTCCCGCCTCTTCACGGGAAGGTCAATTTCACTGATTAGAGATAAGAGACAGTTAAATCCTCGTGTGGCCATTCATACAAGTCCTTAATTAAAGAACAAATGATTATGCTACCTTTGCACGGTCAGAGTACCGCGGCCGTTAAACGTGTGTCACTGGGCAGGCAGTGCCTCTAATACTAGTTATGCTAGAGGTGATGTTTTTGGTAAACAGGCGGGATTTGTGTTTGCCGAGTTCCTTTTATCTCTTTAAATCTTTCCTGTAGTGCACTCCTGTGTTGGATCAACAATATTTATAATAGATAGGTTTATTGGGTGTGTGATTCTATTTATTTGTTAATTATCAGTTATTATTAGATCTGAAATAAAGGTGTGCGTGGAGAATATATTTCTTGTTACTTATATTAACATTAACTCTTCTATAAGTTTATAGATTGACCCAGTATTTGTATTAGGAGTTTGCTTAGATTTGTGGGATTATTAATAATTTTATGTTGAGCTTGAACGCTTTCTTAATTGATGGCTGCTTTTAGGCCAACTATGGTAAAATTTTTTCTTACTCTCTAATTAAGGTTGAATCCTTTGTCAAAAGAGCTGTACCTCTTTTGACTAAAACTAAGATTTACATAGGGTGTTGATTAATCTTTTTTGGTAGATCTTAGGTTGAACTTAAATTCTTTTTCTGGGTAACCAGCTATCACCAGGCTCGATTGGCTTTTCACCTCTACTTAAAAGTCTTCTCACTATTTTGCCACATAGATGAGTTGGTCCAAAAGACTGCTCTCAAGTAGCTCGTCTGGTTTCGGGGGGTTTGGCTTAAGGTCTCTTTGTCAAATTAGTCTAGTTAATTCATTATGCAAAAGGTAAAAGGGTTAATCTTTGCTGTTTATTACTTTTAATTTATCTTTCATCTTTCCCTTGCGGTACTATCTCTATAGCTCTAGTGTTAAATTTCTATCTCCTATACTTTAAAGTAGATAAATGTTTTAATTTATTAATATTAAATAATTTAGTGGTGGTTTAATTAGGCTAGGATTAGTTCAAAGTGGTCAGTGTGAGTTGAAATCTTCTGGGTGTAAGCCAGATGCTTTATTTAAGCTACACTTTGGGTTTTCCAAGCACACTTTCCAGTATGCTTACCTTGTTACGACTTATCTCCTCTTGTAGTTTATTATAAGGTAATATGGTTAAAATAATTTATATACTTGAGGAGGGTGACGGGCGGTGTGTACGTGCTTCATGGCCTAATTCAACTAAGCTCTCTATTCTTAGTTTACTACTAAATCCTCCTTTAATTTTCAATTTCATGAAAATATCCGTAAAATATTCTGGGTCAGAAAATGTAGCCCATTGAGTTCCACTACATAGGCTACACCTTGACCTAACGTTTTTATGGAAATTATTAAGCTTACTATTTCACCTTTTAAGGGTTTGCTGAAGATGGCGGTATATAGACTGAATTAGCAAGTAGTGGTGAGGTATATCGGGGTTTATCGATTATATAACAGGCTCCTCTAGGTGGATATAAAGCACCGCCAAGTCCTTTAAGTTTTAAGCTATTGCTAGTAGTTCTCTGGCGAATAATTTTGTTTAAAATTATTAAGGTTTAGGGCTAAGCATAGTGGGGTATCTAATCCCAGTTTGTGTCTTAGCTATCGTGCTATAAGGCATAGTAAAGTCACTTTCGTAGTTTATTTTCAGTAATTCTATAACTTTTTACAGTGTAGAAGTAATTTATCTTTATTATTAATTTTTATCCATGAGCACGCTTTACGCCGATATTTATTAGTTTGGGTTAATCGTATGACCGCGGTGGCTGGCACGAAATTTACCAACCCTATAATAGTATAACTTAGTCTAACTTTCGTTAATTGCTAAATTTTTGTTACTGCTGTAACCCGTGGGGGTGTGGCTTAGCAAGATGTTATTAGCTGCCTAATGGCGTGCTTGATATCCACTCCTTTTGATCTTATAGATTTAAAGGGTATTCTCACAGGGTTGCTGAGACTTGCATGTATAATTTTACTATCAACTAATAAAAAGGCCAGGACCAAACCTTTATGTTAATGGAATTATATAAATTCATCTAGGCATTTTCAGTGCCTTGCTTTTGTAATTAAGCTACATTTAC